AAGACTTGTATTCGAAACAGAACAGGACACTAAGTTGTGGGACTTAACTTCGAGTGGATTAGACAAAGAGCAACATGGAGCTGCGCGGGAGCTTAAAGGCTCGAATATAAGAATGATCATTGTAAAAATTAGCAAATGTACATTAAAGCAGAGCCTGGCAACCGCGGATTGTCTAATTCCTTGCTCCTTTTAACTAACGAACCCGCCTTGGGTGAATGAGAAAAGGTAGTTTACTGACCAATCAGTTTGGTCGATTCTTTAACATGACGCGGTTTAGGAAAAATGAATGCTAATGCAATTGCAGCAGTCTGGCAGACGTTTTTTGGAATATAGTCTCCAAGAGGCCTCACCTCCGCTCACTCATTTCTTTTGTAATGTTTGTCGCCAACTAAATCAAATTTAAACTTAACCCATACAAATCAAGTTCACCACGGAAATGGCTGATGTATTTTAACAAGAAAACTTTTCGTGTAAGATATATTTTTTGTCTGCACAGAGTATTATTTAGGCGACCCATATTTCGCTAATGCATTTCGGTTTCTGTTTGTTTCTTCGACGTTAAAGCATTTTCCTATCTTAGTATTTATTTAACAGTATGATGTAGAAATTAGAGCTGTGCATCTTGCATTCGATGCTTCATTGTCAGAAAAAAATCCGTTTGCGTTTGCACCAAAACCTGGCATATTTGTTGTCATTTCTTTCATAATAAACACCACAAATAAAATTTGCCATTGTTGTTCTCTGGTCCGAATGTTGGCACATTAATTAATTGTTTTTTGTAAGTATAAAAGAAAAGATCTGTTAGCATGAATGAGGTAGGTAAGAAGTCGACTGCCATCTGTCGAGCATTTGTCCCAACCAAACTCTGCCAATGACGGTAGAACAGTTTTAGTTAATTGCAAACCTCTCCATGTTCCGCTAAACAAAAGCTGCTATTGGCTAAGTAATCTTCTTCAGATGTCTAGGAAAGTAGAAATATGCATTTACTAATCAATTTCCGCATTAAACTTGTGACCTGTTCCCATCTTTGTGCGCTGCTTATTTCGTTTATGGTCTCCATGGAATCAGTGTCAGGAGAAAAAGTTGCCGAGTCACGTTCTCACAACATGTGTCTACCTCGTTTGGATTGGCTGTTGGATCATGTTTAGTATGACGTAACACAATATAATAAATAACCCCGTGGATCATGTTGGGCGTGGCAGAAAAGATCTTAAAAAAGATGGATTCCTGTAGGCCATGATGATGCAATGAGGATCAAGCAATCAGCTGTTGATCTTCAAATCTACAGCCAAAATGCGTGCACCAATTAAACGAAAGGAAATGTTGGCAGATTCTTGACCACGTTTTCAGGATGGCCTACATCCTCTTAAGCCTGCTTCTGCTAGTGTTATAGGCAAATGAACTCAATCAACAAGACGCGTGTTACGTCTTCAAGCCAAATTAAAATGCAGGGATTTTGGTAAATGAAGCGTGACCTCTTCCGTTAACAACTGAGCCAGACGGTACCACTAGTAACCCAGTGCTTCCAAAAACTTGGAGGGAATTTACAAAATTGGGATAAATTTAACCTAAATTACATCACCTTTTTAATTTTTATTGGCTTTTGTACACAACTTTGAGGCGGACACAAAAACTGAGAGGAATCGTTGAGAAAGATCATCAGAGCTGATTACGATTTCTATTTAAAGTGTTCAGGCAAATATGCTTCTCATTTTGTCCAGATAATCAAATAGTTGAAAAGAAGAATAGTATTCAGCCAATCTTTGGAATTTTTGAAGTTTTAATCAATTTTATACTTGCTGTTTGCAACGAAAGCGCTTACATGTCCACGCTTTGGTGTCTTATTTGCAGTGAAGACAAGAGGGCGTTAAGATGCAGCTAGGTGGCAGCGTTCCTCGGGGTAACGACTGGTCGGCAGTCCTACCAAACGGTGTCTTCGGCGCGAAGCGACCGCCACCGTGTCCACGCGGTCTGGGTCCGACTCCCACCGCGGTTAATTTCCTCCAGCTGGAACTCGGTCACAAGCCGGAACCGCAAAATCAAGCCTCCCAACTGGTCTATGGCATTGGGAACAAAGAATCTGCTCGAGGTGACAGAGGGTCGCAGACTGGACCTGCAAGCTGCTTTGAAATGAAAGAGCTCCTTGGACTAGGTAAGTCCCTTTCGTTCCTACGTCTAGAAATTACTCAGTTTCATCAGTGTTAGGTGATAGCCCCGATTAATGGATTTAATACTCCGGGAATCGTACCTGTGTCACTAAAGAAGGTAACTGGGAGGCGTCTTTACTGAGAGAAAGCGCGCGTTAAATAAAAATGGTTTCAGAAGGTGCCAAGGTTTTTGCGAGTGCGTAGCTGTCCATCTTGACTATGTGAGAGTGCAAGAACAAACATTAACGGGCAGTAATCACCTCCCTCAGCAATGTCATTTTGAACCAGACTTAACAATTTAACAAATTGAAGAAAAGGCAATCCTTATAAACGGCAAAAGGGATTACAGGTTTTCAAAGTGCTTTGCGAAAGTACAGAGGAAATCTCTAATCTCGCCCAAATGTCATAAAAAAATCTGCACCGTGAGAAAAAACACTTTCGCCTGCTTCTAAGGCGCAATTAACGGCTAACCGTTACATGCAAGATCCTTTGCTAAGCTTGCAAAAATAAGTTCATCTTTTTTCTTTCGGGTTTAATCTACTACATCCACAGTCATTAAAAAGATCTCAAACGCACCAAGCTTGACCATATGAGAAAACTAGCTCCTTTCCTGAGTGTAGTCTTAGAAATGCACCAAGTTAGCATATTACAGAGGCTGCGGTTGAAATCAGAGGCGAGCATTAATTTTGCAGGCATAATTTCCTCTCAGATAAAACATCAGAGGCAAATATATGAGCTCTTGTCATATAAATATTCAATTTTGTGTAGCTTTTGAGAAAAGGTAGATTCGCGATGTAAAAGTTTGGTGTGATGGATTGGTTGTTCAGGCAGTCACCTTAAACTTGAGACGTTTTCAAATTCACCCAATCCGGAGCTCCGGCTCATACACCAATAAATAATAATAATAATGCAGTGAGCGAGGACTTTAGCAACCCAACAATCTTGATTGATCCCTCTCGACTTGATGGTGAAGTGGTAAATAAACGCATGGCTCATTTTTTATGCTTGACTTACCTAATTCTGCAAGGACTAGAAAAAAACTTTGTTCTTTTTGCCTTGGGAGCAGCACTAGCTTAACAGCAGCTGCCTTAAGTGTCAACATTAGACCAGAGCGTTTGCAAATATTCAAGCCGGAACGGCGACATTAACTTGTCGCATCTTCGTCCTGGAAACCAGCGGCATCAATCAAGTGGCGTGCCTTCAAAACACCGCACAACACAAGTAAAGCGCTTTAAATGCAAAACATCCGATGAAGGCGACGTCATGCGATGCACTAAGTGTTTAATAAAGCCCATTTTACTGTACTGGTGGATTGCTTATCCCCATTTCCACCTCAAAGTGAACGAAAAAGACGAGGCGGAAGCGTTGTGATCTCTAGTTGAGGAAGCTATTTTGAGTGAAATATGGGGAAGACTAATGCAGCAAATTTCGCTAAGTTGCATATTGGCGCGTTTTCATAGTGCCGACTTTCTGTAAAAAAAGTCTTGAGAATATTTAGGAAATTATAGTGTGCCAATTTACAGCCGTTTGCTCAGGAAACAAGTCGAAGGGTACACTGGCTTGTGACTGCCAAGTCGCAGAGCTGTGGGAAGCTTCCAACAATTTAGTATTACTAGTCAATGTACCTGAAATTATCATCATTTATAACTGTCGATAGTCGAAATCTTTACTATCATGGCTGTCGTGCACTTCATGTAGCAACAATCATTCTGTTACGTTTGCCCGTAACAATAGAGAATACCACTCAAATAACGGTACCAGATCCCTTGCTGAAAGCTAGAACCGAACTTCCCAGGCTAATACCAGAACAAGAACAGAGCTCGAGTAGAGAGCTTTATTCACGTGAGCCACGTGCTGAGAAGTCGTG